GTCCCTGACCCTTTTCTGACTTTATTTGTGCATGTGATGCTGAGGATTCAAACCCAGGGCTTTGTGCATGCTGGGCAAGCACTCTACCACTGAGCCACATTCCCAGCCCCCATCATACATTAAAAATAAAAGTTTTCAATTCAAGCTGAGTGCCAGTGGTTCACACCTGTCGTCCTTGTTGCTTGAGAGGCTGAGACTGGAAGGATCTTGGTTTGAGGCCAATCTTGGTAGGGAAGCTCATGGGACCTCTTTTTAAGGGAGAGCTGGATGTGGTGGTGCACACCAGTTACCTTAGCTACGCGAGACACCTAATGTGTTTGCATGGAAGCTCAGGTGCACACCCCAGCAGAAAGCAAGACCATACTTAAAAAGTCATAAGAAAGGCTGGAGGCATGGCTTAGTAGTGAGGTCACCTGCCTAGCAAGCGTGAGGCTCTGAGTTCAAAACCTCAGTACTGCCAATATCTTACTTCAATCAGAGGTTGGTTTAAATTCATGGCTGCAGCTGGGAGTCAGTATCTCATGCCTGTAATCCTAACTACTTAAGAAGTTGAAGTCTGAGATTCAAAACAAACCTGGAGACTCTTATCAGCAATTAACCAACAAAAACCTGGAAGTGGAGCTGTGGCTCAAGTGGTAGAGCACTGGCCTTGAGTGAAAAAGTCCAGTCAGAGTGTGAGGTCTAAGTTCAGGTCCCAGTATTGGGATACACACACACACACACACACACACACACACACACACACACACACTTGGATGCAGAGCCTAGGAGCTGTTCAGCTTACTGATTGATACACATCTCTCAAATTCCCTTTGTGAGCACAGACAACCTCTAACGTACTCGGGTTTTAAATCTCAAAGAATTCTCTAAAGGATAAACATTGGGCAAGGAACTATTTCTAGGTATGTGATACATGAAGTTATGATATTCATCCTATAACCAAACATTGGGTAAGGTTGAAGAAAAACAATTCTTAGAAAATGCCTTCAGTGTGGTCATGTTGACATGCCTTTTGTCAATTAGAAATGTGTTTGTTTAAGCAGTGTCTCTGGCTTATGACAGTCATCACTCTCTCTCAGTAGCAAAAAAACGTGTTTGAGTTTCATAAGCATATGTAAATGGTCCAGAGTAACAGGGCAGCTCAGCTGTCTGCATGCCATGTTTGCACATGGTGAGGATTCCCAGAAATTAGACATTAACACAGAATTTTGCCTTGATCTTCAGAATTGTAAGGCAAAACTCTAGATATGGCTGGATCTCAGAACTCCTCTTGACTGGTAACTGCTCTGTGAAATTACATGCTCTGGGTCAAAGCTATTTGGTGGAAAATCGGGACATATATGAAAACACAGAAAGATAGCAAACAGCTAGCTGAAGGTAGATATAGCTCTTGGTGATCTCACTTTTCTGTCTCCTGGGTTTCTGTCTCCTCCAGGAGATTCAGTGCTCTGCCACCTGCCCATCAGCCACAGAGCTGTCCCAGCCAGCCTCTTCCTTCCAAACCTAGAGCCAAATTGAATGCAGAGGAGCCAAAAACAGTGTCTTGCTGTATAGTTGGATTTATTTACAGGAGTTCTCCTCCTAAAACTAATCCTGAGGAGCATTTCTCAGCATCTCAGAGGGTGTTGTTCTGAGCAAGAGGTGGAGCCGGGGTGGGGGAGTGTGATTTTTGTCAGGGAATTTGCTTGAGAACATTGGATTAAGGAATTCTTGAACCTATGGACTTAGTGATTCAGATGTTTTCTTCTGTCACTAACATTCATTAGAAGTTATGTTTTTCATTTAAAGGATGTTTTCATAAGGTTTAATCTCTCTTTTTTCCCTCTCCCCCTCTTTCCCTCCTTCCTTGCTTGCTTGCTTCCTTCCTTCCTCCCTTCTTTCCTTCCTTCCTTCCTTCCCTTCCTCACTTTCTTTCTTTCTTCTTTCTTTCTTTTCTTTCTCTCTCTCTCCTTCCTTCCTTCCTTCCCTTCCTCCCACTTTCTTTCTTTCTTTTCTTTCTTTCTCTCTCTCTTTCCTTCCTTCCTTCCTTCCTTCCTTCCTTCCTTCCTTCCTTCCTTTCTTTCTTTCTCTTTCTCTCTCCTTCCTTCCTTCCTTCCTTCCTTCCTTCCTTCCTTCCTTCCTTCCTTCCTTCCTTCCTTCCTTCCTCCCTCCCTCCCTCCCTCCCTCCCTCCCTCCCTCCCTCTCTCTCTCTCTCTCTCTCTCTCTTTCTTTCTCCCTTTCTTTCTTTTCTCTCTCTTTTCCTTTTTTCTCCCCTCTGTCCCTCCTTTCCTTCCTTCCCTGTATTGCAGTTTGAACTGTGGGTACTGTGCTTTCTAGGCAGGCGCTCTACCACTTTTAGCCATACCTCTAGCCCTTTTTTACTCTAGTTTTTTTTTCAGATAGGGTCTTGCCCTTTAGCCTGGGCTGCTCTGGGATAGAGATTATCCTAACTATGCCTTTTGTGTAGTTGAAATTACAGATCCACATCACCACACGACCAGCATGCTTTATTAGATGACATCTTGTTAACTCCCTCCGTGCCCCCCACCTCCCAAGCTGGCCTCAAACTTGTCTTCCATATCTCTGTCTCCTGAGTATCTGGTGTTATATGTACAAACCACTGCCTGGCCAGGTTTAGTACATATAGACCCAAATTGCATACATCATCAGAAGCCATTTAGAAAAATAATCCCCAATTGGGTTTTCTATTTATCAAATGGTAGAACCATTAAAAGAGCTATCTTTCCCTAAATGAATTGATAAGGTCAGTGTAATTTTTACCAAGTTTTTAGCGGAGTTTGCTTTTTAAAAGAACCTATCAAAACTGGCTCCTGGTGGGCCAGTGATCCTATTTGGGAGGTGGAGAGTGGGAGGATTATGATTCAAGGCTAGCTCAGATATGAAAGTCCATGAGACTCTTAGCTCCAATTAGCCATCACAAATCCTTAAGTGGAGCTGTGGTAGAGCTCAAGGACAGTGCCCAGGCCCTAAGGCCAAGCCCCAGGGCCAGCACACACACACACACACACACACACACACACACACACACACACACACACACACACAAGAAAGGCAGCAAAAACAAAGCTGGTGGCATGGCTCATGTGGTGGAGCATCCCAAGCAAGTGAAGGGCCCTGAATTCCACCCAAACTTAGCCTTCCTTTTTTAAAATGATGCATATAACTCATGTGTATGACAAAATCATACAGAAGTACTGGGTATTGGGACACCTGGGGATCCTGTTTGTTTGTTTGGGTATTTTTGCTATTTCTCTGTCCTCTCTTCTATTTTGTATGGCTATTTCCCTCCTCATGACAGTAAATCTGCTTGTCTACAAATCTTTGTACACATGGGCAAGTAGAACTCAAACTGGGGACTTGGTGGTAGATACTTCTTGGTATGAATTATTGGTAAAACTTTAATATCAACAGTATTGTGATTGCCTCATGCTTTTGCCATTATAGATAGTAACATATTTTCTAGATAATATTCCATGGTAGGCAAAACAAAGGTAACTTTTTAAAGTGATAACATGAATCAAATCTGGCCCTCCAGTTGTTTTTGTTAATAAAGCTTTATTGGAACACACACACAAAGTAATTAAAAGCTGGACTTACATGCAGGCATTATCCATTTCCTAGGTTAGCTCCTACATTTCTAGATCAAAAAGTAACCTGATAGAGAAAGGTAGTCCTTATTAAAAGAAAAGGCAAAAACCTCCAGAGGGTTTCTTTCTATCACATACCTTGTAGTATGTGTATGAAACTAGTAGCCTCATTTTGTTGCTGTAAAACACTGTTCCCAGATGATTTTCTTTCTTAAATTTTCTTGAATCTATAACATAAAAGCTTGGGTATTAGAGTTGGCTGGAGAGTTCATGGTAGATATAGCACTTGGTGATTAATGATAGTTAACAACTCTGTGGTTTCTGCCCGGCCCTGCTAGGAGTATACTCAAAGAACAAGAGAATGTAGCTGTTTTAATGACTTGGCCTGGCATCTAAAACATGAGTAAGATGAATAATGCCAAACCAGAGAGGAGAGCTGGTTCACAAGTAGCTCCTGGGGGGCTCCTATGACATAAATGAGGTTTAGCATAGAACAGTGGATGTTGGTTGGCACTTGCTTGCCTTATCTCCTCCCCATAGTCTGTTGTTAGAACTACACTTAGACCCACAAGGCAGCCCTGAGACTTCTTTATTTCCAAATAGTGGACTGAGAGATACTTTTGTGGCATCAGTTTATTAAAGACTTCGAAGAGCTCTTTGAAATTAGTTACTTTTACTATCAGTATGCCCAAATGGAGGCCCAGAAAGACAAAATGATGTCTATAGGTCATGATCAAGACATCTTAAATCCAGTGCTGTAGCTGGGTTCCAGTGGCTCATGCCTGTAATCCTCGATCCTCAGGAGGCTGAGATCTGAGGATCCCAGTTCAAAGCCAGCCCAGGCAGGCAAATAGAGAGGCTTTTTTAAAATCTCCAATTACTGAGCAAAAAGCTGGAAGTAGAGGTGTGACTCAAGTGGTAGAGCACTGTCCTTGAATGAAAGAACAAAAAGACAGCTAGTAAGCCCTGAGTTCAAGCTCCATCCAGTACTAGCATATACACATACAAAGACCACAGGTTGTTCTCAGGACGTTTGAATATTACAAATTGACTTTGCAATTGAGACATATGTGTTTCTAGTATCTTCTGATGACTTCTTTTCATTTGCTTGGCCTTCTTGGATGATTGGGAATAGATTTACTTAAAACTAGAGAACTTGTGGGGCACTTTTTTTTGTATCTGAGGGGGTGCATGGATAGTCTCATACCCTAAACTGAACAAAGCTCATATAGCCTTTCTTCCCTTGTCATCTCCAGATGCCTTTTCTTCATCCCCCCCCCCCCTTCCTCCCTCACTCCCAAGGGGGAAGCTCTGCCATTGGGAACAGGTCACAGCAAATGTCCTCTTTGGGCCCCCAACCTCTGTCCACCCACTGCCCCTTATGATGACCTGTTTCTCTGCTGTGTTTTCCAGGTGCCCCTTCTCTTCGGGCCTATCCTCTCCTTTCTGTGATCACCCGACAGCCCACGGTCATCTCCCACCTGGTCCCCACCACTGCGGGAATTACCCCTGTGCTGTCCCGCCACCCAGCCACTGAGGCTGCCTCTGTGGAGGCCCCGGGTGAGGCATTAGCCAGCAGTGAGTCAGAAGCAGAGCAGCCCACACCTCGGCAAAAGAAGCCTCGCCGGAGTCGTACCATCTTCACTGAGCTGCAGCTCATGGGCCTGGAGAAGAAATTCCAGAAGCAGAAGTACTTGTCCACCCCAGACAGGTGAGTGGGTGAGTGTTCTGCAGGTAATGTGAAGGGGAGTTTTGCTCTCTGAGAGGAATGCAGAGCCTCATACCTCCCCATTTTGGGGGGGGGGAGAGGGCTGGGAGGAGTAATACTAGGACTTGGACTCAGTAATTCTTGGACTCAAGGCCTTGTACTTGCTCAATCTGCTTACTCAGTTGGCACTCTACCCTTGAGACATGCCTTTAGCCCAAGTTTTTGCTGGCTATTTGTTTGTTCTGTTACCTTTAAGTACAGTAGTTGTACAAAGAAATCTTAATTCAACATGTGAATTTATGAGTACATATACATCTTGACCCATGTCGCACCTTCCATCATTCTTCCCCATTGCTGGTTATTTTGGAGATAGAGTCTCAAGGACTTTTCTGCCCAGGTTGGCTTTGAACTGTGATACTTCAGATCTCAGCTTCCTGGGATCAGGATTACAGATGTCGACTAAGATCTGGATTAGCTACTTTTCTTGTGAACCACCAGTGCCCAATACTCCCCTTCCATCTCTTAAAATTACATCTTCATTGCAAAATATACAAGAGTGTGTATCTTGCCTCATTCCTTCAAGTCTGAGATGCTGAGATAATGTGCGAGTCTATGAGTTAAGTGGATTTTTCTAGGTCTTTTTTTTTTTCTTGCTCACCACCATATCCACATGAGGCCTAGCTTCGGTCCTGTCAAAGCAAATGAGAAAGAAACACAAATAATTCTCTGAAGCTATTATTAGCAACTGTGCCACAAATGGAAGTAAAACAGGAGTCTGTAACTACCCTCTAAAAGACTGATGTCATAGCCAGACCTTATCGGCTGTTTGCTGAGGGTTTCATGGGTACCAGGGCTTCTGATGCCAGAAAACAATATACAGGGCTCTACTTTGAAGGAGACCATAGGGAAAGAATAGCTAAAGAAGCTGCAGTTCAAAGAGCCAATACCAATGTCATATAGTGCCAGTGGCCTTGAAACCCAAAGATGTTGCTATGTGTGTGGCAGGTACAGGTCAGGAAGGCTTCTCAGAGGAGGTGATAATTAAAGGATTTGGTTCCAGCAAAGGGTGATTGCTTATACAGTAATGTATCTTTCAGATATGTTGAGGGAATGACAGGTGGTTGGGACATCTTGGCTCCAGTTGTGAGTATGGGAGATGAATCTGGATAGGTAGGAAGGGTCTGGTATGTTTGGCTGAGGAATGTGGGCTTTGCTGTTTAGGCAGGCCAGAACCGGAAATGACATGACCTGACAGACATCGCAGAATCATGGCTTTGGTGGTTCCATAACTGATTGATTAGCAGGGAAACCAGTTAGAAGAGAATCCAGGATGGTTGCAGAGGTACAGAGGCTCTAGACCATGGGGAGAGAGGCGAGAAAATACATGGGAGAACTATTTTGAAGATGGAATGGATAGGGAATCTTAGGGAAGGAAGAGAGGAAGAGTTGAACCTCTTGTGGGGGCCTTTTACTGCAGTGAGAAGGGCGGGACAGACAAGGGGGCCCTGGTGGGGAAAGAGGTGAGTTCTGTGTTGGACCTGTGCATGTGGGGTTGCTTTTGGTAGACAATGGAGACAGATCTGTGAAAAGGGATTTCATAGATAGACGTTCGATGGTATGGTGATGTCCCCGGCAGGTAACTGAGAGTCTTATGGTACCATTATTTACGGTGGTATGGTGATATGATATGCATGGTGGTATACCTGAAGGGTTTTAGTATACAGGGGTTTTTCAGAAAATTTGCACAATAAGGCCTACTCTTTCATAGAAGCCTGCACAATCACCAGCCTGTGCCATCAGAAGTCCTAGGGTCAAGTTCTCAGCTGCAACTTTCTCTACCCAAAGAAATGGATACATTAGTAAGATTGATGGGCACCAGCCCCAAAGATTTTAGGTGCTAATTCTTGGTGGTCTCACATATAGCTACCCAACTACTGCCATTCTCACTCTGACCAGAATGTACAGATCAATCAGTCTCTGATTATTAAAATAGAGAGTGCCTTCAAGGTCTTCTGAGCTAGCTTCTAGCTATTTTTTTTTTTACAAACATATTAGTTCTCTTATAAATCTCCTGAGGCTTCTTGATACTTGCCCAGGCGTCTCTCAGGTGACCAACACAGGACTGATTCACTTGCCTGGAGAGGAAGGGACCATCTGGTTGGCATGGAAGCTGCCGCCAGACCCGCCCTCCACATGTTCCTCACCTCCCTACGTGACCAAGGCCATGGGTGCTCCCTCCTCCTGCAGCTCCTGCTCCCCCTTCCTCCTTGTTTGTTTCCCTGGTTTCCTAGGTGACCCATCTAAGTGAATATGCAGGGAAGTGAGAATTTGTAACGGTGGCAGGTAATGAGAGAAAGCTGATGACAGTCAATGGTTTCTGTAGCCAGAGTGAGTCAAGGATGCATTTTTCCCAAGTGAGCTAACACCATTTGCTAATGCACTGGCAGAGCTGTGAACCTTCCATTGACTAATGCACCTGATGGCCTCAGGTGAACCAGGATCGCAAGGTCCGTGGTAGGTGGGGGTGGGGAAGCCTCTGCAGCAGCCCAGACAGGAGAACTTGGCCAATCACCAGAGCCCATGGAGCACTGGGAAGCCAGAATCGGTGAGATTAGACCCCTGGGTTCTTGGTTCTCAGTATAGACTACTTGGAACATGGGTGCTTTTATAATGGGAAGAGCTAGCTATTGTTGGCACTGGACATTTATTGGCTTGGTTCTCTGAATCATTTTCAGTAAAACTCTGAGCTGTCCTTTGGTCTGAATGAGCAGCTATAGGTGAATGCAGATTTAAGACTAGCTTAGAAATCCTTGAGGGTACACTCTACTTTGATTATCAGAAACTGATTGCTCTGTGCACTCTGGTCAGAGTGAGATGGCAGTAGTTGGGTAGCTATACGTGAGACCACCAAGAGTTAGCACCTAAAATCTTTGGGGCTGGTGCTCACTGATCTTACCAATGTATCCATCTCTTTGGGTAGAGAAAGTTGCAGCTGAGAACATGAACCCAGGACTCCTGATGGCACAGGTTTGTGAATGTGTAAGCCTCTGTGAATGAGTAGGCCTTATAGCACAAATGGCAATGGTCAGAAACCTGGAGACTTTTACACAGTGGTAGCCACTGCTGCTACTGCTGCTGCTGCTGCTGCTGCTGCTTTACAAGTGTACGCTGCTTCACTATGCAGGGGCTGTAGGGTGGAAGCTAGCATTGGCTCAGGAAGACAGTTTTTCCAATCAGCACATAGGTGGACCATCCACTTTTTGTGGCTAAAATGACCTGGTAGGTTTGCTGTTTGGTTAGAAGGTAGGACTAACACATATGAAGAGATGAGAGGCCATTTGAGATCATGGGACCCTGTGCTGGCTGCTGGTTTGTGGGAAGCAGTGGAGGAAGGGATCTCCTGAAAGTGGGATGACATACCTTTTACTTTAGACTTCATTTCTGGTTTGGGATTTGGGTCAGAGGACACATTTCATGGAAGATCAGGGTGAAGACCATCAGATCAGCAAAAGGACTTTTTGAGGAAGGCTCAGTCATCCTTTCCAAGTCAATTAAAGACTTGAGGACTATCCCAGATGACCGTCAGGGTGGCTGTCTTGTTTAATTTTAAGTCTCACATTTCTTTATAAGATTCTTAAAAGAAAAGCCCTGTAAGTGCCCAGAGTGGGTCCCTAGGAACCCATCTTTCTTATTCTCTCCTGTCTTCCTCACTATTCCTTTGTATTTCCTGCCTTCTAGGTTGGACTTGGCCCAGTCTCTGGGACTCACTCAGCTGCAGGTGAAGACTTGGTATCAGAACCGCAGGATGAAATGGAAGAAAATGGTAAGAAAGGAGAGAGTCTTAACTTCATTCATCTTACAGTGGAGAATTCCTACCACAGGGTTGTTGGGAGATAGGAAGGACCATTCAGTCATTTGGGTTGTAGGATGGGAATGCCTTCTTAATAAGAGATACTCTTTTACAAGGTTCCCTTAGAAATTAGAGAGGAACAAAGCCCACTGGCTTCTTAGCTGCTAGTTTGATCTTTGCCTTCTAGCCTTTGTAAATCATTTCCTTTGCCTCCCACCAATAACTAAGAATAGAGGGCAGAACCCTCTGGTAAGGTGACAGTAAGGGCACATCTGTTCTGTTACTCTTGTAATTCAAGCATCCTTAAACTCAGAGGGCATTATAGCCACTTGAAAAGCAGGTGGAAATGCAGGATCTAAGCTCCTTCCCAAAACTTATGTTCTATAATCTGTGATGGGTCTGGGAACTGGCATGTTAGCAAGTACTCCAAAGTACATAGTCTATGACCTCATTTCCATACAATGGCTCTAGTATTTCCATACTGTGGCTCTAGTTCCTAGCAAATGAGAATTCTTGTCTTTCTTAAATATACTGGGACTAAAACACCTGTTTTGTGGGTCTCAATGTCATTATCATTTATCCTTTCTTTTCTTTTTGGGGGCAGTGCTGGGATTTGTCTCAGGGCATCCCACTTGCTAGGCAAGTGCTTAACCATTGGAGCTACACTCCAGCTCTTTCTTCAGGTATTTTTTAGAAAAGGTCTCCACTGACTTTGCCCAGGGTCAGAATCCAACTGTGATTCTCTTACCTACTCCTTCCCCTTGTAGCTGGGATTACATATGGGTTACCATCACACCCAGATTGCTTACTGAGATGGGATTTTTTGCCTGGGCTGGCCTTGTGCAACAATCCTCCCAATCTCTGCTTCTCAAGTGGCCATATTGTGGCCACTTTATACCATTTTACCTCCTCTCCCCTCCTCTTTCCAGGATGAAAGTAGTACCCAACATCATCCCACATGAGTCTCTCACAACTTCATTGGATCTTATTGGCTCTTTCTCCTTCTGTATAGACCAAGAATACCATACCTTCCTCACAACAACATTCTGATTTGCTAAGCTTTCCTATCACAGGCTCATATTTCCTGGTTATTGAGTGCTGAGTGCTGGAATAGGATGTTTACTACCTCAGTTGAGTTTCTGAGATGCTCGTCTTCCTCAGTTTTTAGGAAAAAAAGTCAGTGGAAAGAGACTTTTCTCAGATTGTGGTTTTATCTATTGCTCTTTTTCTTAAACCTTAAACTCTTGCTTATATTGGCCAGATTTCTACCATGGTGGTAAAATATATGAGACAGATCAACTTAAGTGGGGTGGGGGGAATATACGAGACAGATCAACTTAAAGGGGGGGGAGTGTTATTTTGACTTGTAGTTTCAGAAGCTTCTGGACATGGATTACTTGGTTCTTTTGCTACTGGGCCTGTAGGTCCTACAGGGAGGCAAAGCATCATGTGGGGAGCAAAGATGCTTATATCAGAGAAGACAGAGAAGGAGAGAGATGGAGAGTTAAGAGAGAGAGAGACACCAAGAGTGACAGAGAGAGGCATCGGTACCAGATAACAGCATCAAGAGCTAGGCCACACCCCTTAAGTTTTCATCATCTCCCCAAAGACCACCAATGGACTGGATCGCTTGGTTGGATTAGAGCCCTCATGATCCAATTACTTCCCCAAATTTCCTCCCACCCTCCTGAGGATTGCTGCACTGGGGATCAGACCTTCAATTTGTATGCCTTTCAAATCTGTACCATAACATGGACGCTCTATGTTATCACATGCTAGAAAGGATAAATAAGTAAATCATAAATGAATATTGGTAGGAAAAAAATAGAAAAAGTCAAGAAGTAGCAGTGATTTGGCTTTCAGAAAGGAGTTCCTAAACAGAAGTTAGAATTCCTTCTGGGAGGCCCTGACCCTTGAGGGAAGGGTTTTCCTGGGGAGTTGACTGGCCCACAAATACCTCTCCAAGTAAGGCAGAGATGAGGTTATATGTATGACAATCACATATTGCATGAACCAACAAATTTTTACTTAGAGTTTCCTATGAACCATGAATAATGAAATAAAATATGGCCTATTGGATGGAATCTAGGATCCAGATAGAGAAAGAAGGCCAAGAGGTAGCTGAGGAGCCCATTCTGACTAAAAGCTTGTTCATTTATTATGACTGACCATCCCGTAAGAGTTCAGAGGTGGTGTGGCTCGAATGATAGAGCATCTGCCTAGCCAGGGCAAGGTCCTGAGTTCAAACCTCAACACTTCAAAAAAAAAAAAAAAAGACAATGAGTGAGGAAGGTAGCAGCAAGTTAAAACTGAAAGATGACTGAGATCCATTCAGATAGATAATCTCAAATCTGCCGTACTGCATATATGAAGCTTCAGGTGGAAACCTTTGGGGGAAACTGTTCTCTGAAGGAAGCAGATTTGGGAGTGAGAAATGCTGGGCTGCATTCCCATGCCTGCCCCTCCCTGGTTGATTTTGGGCAAGTCCCTTCAATGCTTTCTGTGCAAGTTCCACCACCCACCTCCTTCCTCGTCAATCATCGCCCTCGAAATCAATGTCTCTAGAGCAGCAGAGGCATTGTTTCAGTTGGTTATCAGCAATCTTTTCATGAGTCAGATGATTCACAAACTGACAGCCAACCCTCTCGGCCTGCCCCGCCCAGGACCGTGGGACAACGCATGCGCCTTAGTTTCTGATGTCACTTGTTTTTCCCCCAGCCATGGTGCTGCTGGCACAGTTGTGGGCTGGCTCTTGATAGTTATCAATGCCATATAAATCAAAATGGAAGTAACTCAGCAGATTTAACCTCCGAGAATGTTCTAGGTCAATCATTATTCAGGTCCATGCAGGAAAGATAAGGGCCAAACTTGTAATTCACATCAGCAAGCATTTATGGAGAACTTAGTTTCATCAGGCAATAGTGCTATAATGAAAAGGTAGGAATCTGGCCATTAAAAAATAAAATTAGCTGTTGGCGTGTGTCTCAAGCCTAATCCTAGCTACTTACCAGACTGAGGTGTGGAGATCAGTTTGAGGCCATCCCAGGAAGAAAAATCCTTAAGATTCCATCTCCAGTTAACCAACAAAAAGCTGAGTTGGAGGCATGGTTTAAGTAATAGAGCACCAGCTGAGTAAATAGACCCAGGCAACAGGAGTTTGTGAGTTCCAACCCCAGTGGAACTAAAAACCCCCAACAAAACAACAACAGATCATTAAAAAGCTACTCAAGTTAAGTAGGGGAGATGGACCTAAAATATAATTAGATGGAAGAGCCAGGACAGGAGTAGAGAATGTACAGTGTTCCACATCAGAACAGAGAAGGGAAAGCTTCCTAGAGGAAGAACCATGTAACCTGCCCTTAGTGGATGTGTGCAGCTGAGGGTGGCAATGGAACTGCAGGTAGAAAGAGGGGAACACAAGCGTGTGTGTAGGGGTGAGGACTTGAGAACTTCAAGATGGAGTGAGGGACTGTTGAATTCTAATTCCCTCAGAACAACAAGGCATTGTTGAGGGCCTTATTGCTTCATAGATTTTTTTTCCTGGTAAAACTCTTTCAAGGTTATCTCTTCAGGTACTAGAGGAAAAGAAAAAGATAATTGGGTAACATAAGGATGTCTCAGGGCTAGTAACCTAATTGGAACTGGAAAAAAGATTAGCACTTGATTCTCAGACTGATTCACACGGCTGCAAAAGACAATGTTGCCAAAGCCCAGATAGCATCTCTGACGAGTTTTGACTGGTCAGCTTTATAACTTATAGCGGGCTGAGTAAATTTCTTCTTGCATGGGGAGATGGGATGCTCACCCTTTATTCCAGTTCTGTTGCCTTCCATTCCAGTAGGAAACACGGTGTTTTGTAAAAATAGCCTGAAAACCGCTTATTACTGTTTAGTGGTCTTCAGCTTTCAAACACAGCTCTCTTCCGTGGGGGGATGCAAATGGATACCAACTTCCTCTCCCACTCACAGGAGTTAGGTGGGCCACACACCAAGCAACATTAGCTTTCGATTTAAAAGTCTCCAGATAGCAAGTTACAAGTTGTTGTCTGTATAATTCTGGACAGGTTATACTAAACCTCTATGTGCCTCATTAATAAAATGCTATGCGTATACTTTATAGATTTGTTATCTGAGTTGCTGCCGCCGCCGCCGCCACCGCCTCCTCCTCCTCCTCCTCCTCTTCCTCCTTCTCCTCCTCCTCTTTTTTTCTGGTACTGGGGCTTTGAACTCAGGGCCTCCTTGTTTGGCTGTCTACTCTACCACTTGAACCATGCTTCTAGCCTGGCATTTTTACTAGTTAATTAGAGAGGCAATTTCTTGGACTTTTCTGCTTAGTCTGGCTTAAAATCACAATCCACTGGACGCCAATCTCCTGAGCAGTTGGGATTATAGGCATTAGATGCCAGTGCCCAGCTGACTGAAATAATCTATGAAATATTGAGAATAGTGTTTGCCACAGGATGCAAATGAGGAATGCTAGTTACCTTTTTATAATAGTAATTATTATTATTACTACTGCTATTGTTATTCACCAAAATCTATGTCTCCAGAGAATTCCAACTTTTGAAGGTCAACATAGATAAGCTGAAAGTGAGTTCTATAGGTTTCTGGGACCCTGAGCATCTCTTTGGCTAAGACTGTCTTAACCTGATGTTTGATCCTGGTCAGAGCTTTGGCATTTGGGCCCTGTTTGGGGTGTATTCTGTCTTCCAATTGGGATAATTGTCTAACGTCCTGGGAGGAAATTCATGCTGGAGAATCAGCTTTGCAGAAACTGTCTTCAGTTAGGTGGCTTTCATTGTTAGAGAGAGAGAAAAGGAGGGAGGGAGGGAGGGAAAAAGGGAGGGAGAGGGAGAGAGGGAAGAAGGACAAGGGAAGGGAATATAGGGGCACAGGAAGAAAGAGAGAGGCAAAATCACCTCAGTTTCTGAGTCTGCTTTGAATCTGTGGGAAGGTTGAGTTATTGCAGGTAAGTAAGAGCAATAAAAAAGAAAACCACGTCCTTCACAATTTATACAGAACATAATTCTGGATTCAAATGGCCAGAGGTTTGGAGTCTAAATCCCAGCTGTACTTGGCTTGGTTTTGGATCTTGACAACTCTTTCTGTCTGCTGTTTCTGGTCTGAAAAGTGAGGGACACAGACACTACTTGAGATGGTCTCCCTGCCCTGATACCCCATAATTCACGCTCTATGCCTGTCTACAGTCTGCACCTTGAGAAGGAAGCAAAGGGCTCTATCTGGTTACTTTCAACAACAGAACAACGAGAACATCTAGTTTTAGAGTTCAGAGGAGGGCTTTTCAGGAGACAGCGTGTGAGGTGCCAAGAGACAAAGAGAAGTATAGACTTCTGTTGCAATGGGTTGTCTGGCCTCTCTGGACCAAGGGGACACATTGGCTGCAGGAATGATAGAGAGAAGAACCCCTGAGAGGAGCAAGGCCACAGAGTGCATGTGAGACCGTAGCTGCTGGTGCAGAGAGGCTATGGGATAATTGCATGTCTCAGGTGTGCTGGGAGGCAGGGGGCCAGAGGTCGATGGGGAAAGCAGCCAAGAGAGTAGTTATCTCCTAATTATTGCTTGCATTGGAATGTATTATTCCATTTAGAAAATGGTCTGATTGTTTTGATTTTTTTTTCATGCTGTAGGAAAATAGCCAGGTGGGGCTGATCCAAGCTGTGTGGGTGGTGTTCTCTAATTGCTGGGCTGGACTTTCTTTTGCCAATTAGGTGGCTTCCTCAGACCTGCCCTTTTCTAGCTTGATTACTACATGGGACAACACACTTTTGTATAACCTCTTTCATACCCAGTGGAGCGGCTTTCAACATGGAAATTCCATCTTGGCACCTTCATGTGCTTTCAAAACCTGTGCTCACACTGGAATCAAAATCAGATACTGACTTACCTGAAAAGTACAGGGCATCTCTCTCCCCCCCCCACAGGTGGTTACTGTCATTGTCTAGCCCTTGTTAAAGGTCTCTTTATATGTCTGTGTTAGCTCTCAGCGTGGATTCTAACAGACAGAGCAGATTCTTAGCTGAAAGGAAGTGTTTTATGAAGAATATATGGTCTTCTGCACATCTGCACACAAAACTCAAAATGAATCACAGACCCAAACTATAACAACTCATAGATGAAAATCTGAGTATTTGTGACTTGGGATTAGACAAAATCCTTCTTAGAAATGACACCAAAAGCATGTGCAAGAAGAGAAAAATCAAGTTAGATTTCAAACCTTATGTGCTGTAAAGGATATCATTTAAAATGTGAAAAGACAACCCCACGAAATGTGAGCAAATATTTGCCAAGTCTTCTATATAATAAGGAACATGTATCCAGAAAACCTACAGAGCTCTTACAGCACAAGACTTTCTTCCAATAAACTGGCCAGAAGTGCTTGAAAAGATGCTGAACTTGCTTACTCATCAGGAAAATGCCAATCATAACCACAGTGAGAAACCACTTTGTTCTTGCTATGATGGCTGTAATCAGGAAGGGATAATTGCAAGTGTTTGGTGACTATGTGGAGACATGGAATCCTCCCATGTTATTGACTGGAATGTAAATGGGGCAGATGCTTTGGAAAAAACACTCCTCAAAAATGTTGATCATAGAATTGTCATTTGGTCCAGAAATTCCATTTCTGGGTCCAAAAGAAGTAAAAAGCAAGGACGTGAAGAGATACTCACACATCACTATTTATAACACCATTATTTATAATGGCTAAATGGTGGAAGATAGCCCGACAACCAGTGAATGCCCAATAAGAATGTGGTATATGCATCGGATGAAGGCTGTTTTCTGGTATATGCTACAACATACACAAGCCTGGAGAACCCTATCCCAAATGAAAGAAACCAGTCATAAAAGTCCACATAATTATGATTCCATTTACATGAAATGTCCAGAAAAGGCATATCTATAAAGAATAAAAGCACACTGGTGGTGGAGAATAAGGATTTGGAGAGAAACAATGAAGGGCTGGTAATGACTATAGAATTTCCACTGAGCATGATGAAGTGTTCTGAAACCTCTCTGTAGTGTTAAGTTACCCAACACTGTGACTGGAAAAGTCATTGAATTGTGTGCTTTCAATAGAAGATGTATATGTAAATTATGTCTCCGTTGTTTATAAAAAAGAACTATAATTTGATGAGTAAATATAGTCATTCTTAAAGTTTAGCATTGGAGATCCTTTGCTGCTATTAGAGGAAATGCTAATGAATATGCAGTGACTATAGAGAAAGCTACAAGCAATTAGATGTTTATAGGAACAGTGTAGAATTTTCCTGCAAGGAGCTCTTGTGCAAACAGAGAGGATAAGTGTAGGTATATGCTACAGTTTGGATATGGAATGCTCCTTAAAGGCCCATGTGTTGAAAAATTTGTCTCTATCCTTGGCACTTTAGGGAGGCAAAGGGGCTTTTAAAAGGTAGGACCTAGGGGGAGGCAGTTAGGCCATTGGGGATTGTGCCTCTTCCTGTTTCTCTTTGCTTCCTGGCCACCATGAGGTGAACAGCTTCCTCCATCACAAGCTCCTACCATGTGATGTGCTGCCTCACCATGGCCCAAAGCAATGGGCCAACTGATCATGAGCCAAAATAAACCTTTCCTTCATATCAATTGGATTATCACAAATATTTTGCCACAGAGATATAAAATCATACTAGCACAGTAAGTAAGTAGCAAAGATATTTCCCACCCCCTACTTCTCCATTTAATGCAAGTCCTCCCAAAGCCCTAGTTGTCCAGGAAAACCATCTATACTGAGCCAGGGTTTGGAGCCAATGGAGAAAGAACTCCCTGTTACAGTCTAAATAACATATAAATACTCAAATAATAACCCTGCCTCTTCATGGGATTCTTGTGTAGATCACAAATTGTGACGATAAATGTGTTAAGTCCATTGACATCAGCAAAGGCCATTTGGGGTGCAGTTCTTTTGCCTGCTTTATATCTTTCTTCAGCTCTCTGGAAATGTTTATTGAGAAAAGTTAGTTCATGCCATAACAGTTGTCAAACGCCTGCTACGTGCAGGGACTTGGTGGGAGGGGCAGGGCCAGTAAACATGTAGTGACAACATTTTGAAAAGCGCTCCTGAGGTACATGGAGGAAAGAATTTGACTGACTTGGGGAAGGTTTTCAAAAGCAGTCAACCAGGCAGAAGTATGTTCTGAGTAGAGGAAAGCCACTCTACTCAGGACCAGTTCTTGGCCTACTCAGTCTGATATGTGCTGGTTTTCCCTCACTCTCTTCCCATTTTACAGATTAGGAAAATAATCTCTATAAAAGGCTTTCTCAAAGACCAAGCTGAAAAAGTGCTAGGGCATGGAATTTAACCTAGTTTTCCTACCTATACAACCAGAATGCTTTGAAGACAATATATTTTTATGAGACTTTTTTAACCTGATAATAGAAATATTTAACCATGATGCTTATGGAAAATTTAGAAAATACAGAAATAAAACAGAAAAAGAGAAAAAATCCATGAACCTAACAGTGCAAACTAGGTTAATAGGTATCTAGCTTCCGAGTTGGACTATGTTGTATAATATTCTTCTTTTTATAAAAATATTTATCATAATATTTCCCATGTCATTGAACACTCTCTTTTCTTTTTGTTGTTGGTCACGGGGCTTGAACTCTGGGCCTGGGCGCTGTCCCTCAGCTCTTCAGCTTAAGGCTAGAGTTCTATCACTTGAAACACAGTGCCACTTCTGGTTTTCTGAGTGGTTTATTGGAAATAAGAATCTCACGGCCAGGTGCCCGGTGGCTCACCCCTGTAATCCTAGCTATTCAGGAGGCTGAGATCTGTGGATCACAGTTCAGAGCCAGCCTAGGCAGGAAACTCTGTGAGACTCTTACTTCCAAGAAACCACTAGAAAACTGGAAGTGGTGCTGTGGCTCAAGTGGTAGAGCACTCACCTTGAGCTGAAGAGCACAGGGAATGTGCCCAGGCCCAGAGTTCAAGCCTCATGACCAAAAAAAAAAAAAAATGAATCTCATGGATTTTCCTGCCCAGGGTTTGCTTTGACCTGTGATTCTCAGATCTCAGCCCCCTAAGTAACTAGGATTACAGGCATGAGCCACTGGCACCTGGCAAACATTCTTTTCTAAGGATTGTAATGATTATCTAGTATTTTGTCTTTGGGATGTACTATAATTATCTGACCAATTACATGGCTAAACCTTTTGGGTACCCCTCAAAAAACTTTTGCTATTATAAAACATATACAGAGAATTTTTTGGCAGTACTGGGATTTGAACATTGGACAATATTGAGGTGAATACTTTCTTGCAGATTAACCTTTGTTTCATTCTTAGATCAGTTTTGAGGATTTATCCTAGGGAATCTCTATGTCTATGGAAGTGGTATGCACATTTTAAAGCTTTTGATTTGAATTCTCAGATTGTCTCAAAAAGGTGGCACCCATTACACTTTTAGACTATGGTGTTTGAATGTTCTCTTGCTTGCTATAAATATTACTTTACTTTCATTTGTTAGCATCATAGTTATCACACGAACATCTTAATTTTCACTTCTTTTCTTCCTGAAGTTGAGCTTTGAATGCTTATATTTTTAAATACCAAACCATGAAACTGACTAAAAGTATCCAGAGCATGGGTGAAGCTGTCTTTGCACACCACAGGGAAAGGAAGGATTGAGAATACTTTAGGCCACACCCTGTAACTTCACTGCTCAGAAGATTTAAATGCTGTGGGAAGTTGAACCTGAGGACTGGGAAAGTAAAAGGGAGGAGTTTGTTTTTAGACTCAACAACTTGTCTTTTTCTCACATAGGTTCTTAAAGGTGGACAGGAAGCACCCACAAAACCTAAAGGTCGCCCCAAGAAGAACTCTATCCCCACATCAGAAGAGATTGAAGCTGAGGAGAAGATGAACAACCAAGCCCAAGGCCAGGAATGCCTAGAGCCCTTGCAGGGACAGGAGAGGCTCTGTGAGGCCCAGGAATCTAAAGCATGTGACCTGCCCTTGGAGGTTGCAGAGCCATCAGGCCAGCCCCAGGAGTCACCAGTACCCTCTTCTGAACCCCCACCTCTAAGCTAAAATAAAGTTATCTGAGGGAAGGGGGAGACTGGGAAAGAGGGAGAAGAAAGAAGGTAGGGAGACTCAAGGGAGGAAACCTGTAATAGTCTGGCAAGCTCGGGGAGAAGATCTACCAGTCTCCAAAGGTTAGATGAGCACTTGCTTGCCTTGGGCCTTTCTCTTCCTGGAAGGCTGTATTAGCCACAGATGCCCTTGGTTCAGGAAGATGGCACCTTGGAGATAACTGCCTCAGTTCAGAAGACAGCTGTTGGGTAGGATACAAGCAGCCTGCCTATATTTCCAGTGTTGTGCTGGTCGGCAATGGAGGTTCACTCTCCTCCCTCCCTGCCTGCCACCCTCTGGGCAAGCCGGTCACCAAGGTAGAGAGAGGTGGCGATGCTTGGGCAGCCTGCCCAGGCTCCTTGCTGACTCAGCACTTATTTCTGTAGTGTTTAAAAGAGAATTTAATAGTTTTGGTTTTTGTTGTTGTTTTTGTTGTGGTGGGGGTGGGGGGGAAGGATTGTAAGGATGGGCAAAAAAAAAAAAAAGGAGTTGGAAGAAGGGAGTTGTGTGTGATTAGGAATGTTTCTGAATCTCATGTGTTTGGAGACGTGTGCCTTTGTACCCATTATAAGGTGGTCAGGTGACCCAAGAACTGATAAGCTTTGTTCTTCTCGCTTCATTCAATTGCCAACCCTGAAGCTGCAAATGCAGATGTTGTTAAGATAACTTTTATTTTTTAATTAAATAAATCTTTCAACAAAACAAAACAAAAAGATGGAGTGGTTTGTTTCTTTGGGAGACTATACTTAACCCTACTTGAAGGTGTCCTCTAGAAAGAGCTAGCCAGGCTCACCAGCTTTCCCTTCCACAACGTAAAAGTTTGGGACAGGGACAGGAGCTCATGGCTGATGCCTATAATCCTAGCTACTCAGGAGGCTGAGATCTGAGGATGGAAATTCAAAGCCAGCCTGGGCAGAAAGTCCCTGTGAGACTCTTATTTCCAGTTAACCACGCAAAAACCAGAAGTGGAGCTGTGGCTCAAAGTGGAAGAGCACTAGCCTTGAGCGGAAGAGCTCAGGGACAGTGCGCAGGCACTGAGTTCAAGCTCCACAACTGACAAACAAAAAGCTTGGTCGAGGCCCACCAGTATTAAGTGCAGGGAGCCAGGGAAGCTGTGTGGAAACTCGAGTTGAGGAAAGAGACCTGGGTTTTCCCCTCCCAGCAGACCCACTGTCCGCTGCTCTATATTCTTGGCTTCCAACTCTAAATGTTAAATTTTTTTTTTTTTTTAAAGGTTGAATTTTATGCTTTATTATTTCTGCAAGCATTTGTACCAAGTGGTTTCAATTCAACATCTTGGCTTTTGAGTACAATGCATCTTGATCCATTCTCTCCTATCTCTCCCGGCCCCACCCATCCTCTCAAATTTTGTGCTTTCAAAGTAAAAAGTATGTTAAAAGAAGTCTTTCATCCCTTATTAGGTAATGGGTTTTATTGTTTTCTTGCTTACCCTTCCTATTTTTCTTTCTTAAATACCCATTTGGATGATTGGATCTGCAACTATTCACAAAAGATTTGAGAACAACTTGGCTAGATGAGCTCAATGATTTTAGATTTAAAAGAGACATCCCGTAGTCCACTGGTAGATCATATGCATAGTAGGCACAAGGTCCTGGATTCCATTCCCAGCCCACCAAAATAAACAAGGAAAACAAAGGAAAAGCAATGTCTCACTTCAAGTAAGACTAGCTAAGGCATAGGACTGGATTTCCTGCCTGGACACATTGACTTGCATGACTTCCAGCTCTGATGCTGATTTCCCACCTTCAGCCATTCCCTTCACAGTTCTTCTTTCAAGTGGCAGGTTTGGAGAGTTCTTAGCAGCTGTCATAGGGACCTAAACAATCATAGAATTCATTTCAGAGCCTGACAGGAAAAGATCTGCCTGTTTTTAGTCACCTGGCTGCCTGCTTCTCTCAACCAGCACAGACAGTCAGGAAATGACTGAAGCTTTCACAACACAGAGTTAGTACCTTCATTCCCTTTGCTACTGAAATCAGCTAGGAGAAAGCAGTTCTGTTAGCTCTGTGAATAGACAAAGGAGTTAAGTAAGGCCTCAGCCTCTGAGAACCAGTTTGCACAGACCACACCTAGCTGCCTGTACGAGGCTGCTTGTACTGAGCATGCAGAAAGCTGTCTCCCTCACCTTCAGTCCACCCTATGGTACAATTTTATGATCAGCCTACCAGATGGTGTCATCACCAGCCAAAGAATGTACACAATGGTTAAGGCAAACAGGTAGATCTGGGCCAGGTAAGTCTACTAAGGGGTTGTTCTGTCCTGTTCTCACCCCCAGAGAAGCCTTTCCTTTGGAAGCTGGTTTTCTTTAATGAACTCTTAGGATGACCTTTTCTGTGTTGTCTGATAGTGACTTTCACCTCTTGAGCTTATGTATGCATACACAATGCTGCTTTCTCTGCACCTTAGCTTCCAGGTGCTTTTGACTTCCAATTCTGACTCTTTGGCCTGTTTTGTTTCTTACCCCTAGGGCTGAAGACATTTCAATGGTGAATTTAAGACCTAGGATTATCTTTTCTTATGTCTTGTAAGGCCCAGCCCAAGGTTACCTCCACTTATAAGCTCTTGGCTTATCCTTCTGTCTCAGTTCTATATGGCTTTGCCTGGTGACTCAAAGCGGGGGGGGGGGGGGGGGGGGGGGGGGGGGGGGGTAGTCAGAGCCTCTAAGTTTTTTTTAATTGAAAAAAGTTACATGTATGCGTGGCACACATGATGTTTTAAAGTATGTTTACATTGTGGAATGGTTGCATTCTGCCAATGAACGTGCATTATCTCATATGTAATTTATTTGTAGTCAGAAGAGGTAAAATTTACTCTCCACAATTATTTGTGTGTGTGTGTGTGTGTGTGTGTGTGTGATGTATGTGTATGTTCTTGTACTGGGCTTGCTTTTGATTAGCTTTGTTTTTTGTTTATCTCAAGGCTGGCACTCTTCTGCTTGGGCCACAGCTCCATTCTTGTTTTTTACTGGTTAATTGGAGTTAAGAGCTTCTTGAATTTGTCTATTGGGGCTGGCTTTGAACCAGAATCCTCAGATCTCAGCCTTCTGAGTAGCAAAGATTACAGACACGAACCACTGGCTTACTTTCAACTATTTTCATTCATGTGGTATTATAATCTGTAGTTCACAGGTTGTACAATAGAACTCTTGAACTCAAATCTCCTGTCTAAATGAAATTTTGTATTCTTCAACTAGCATCTTCCAAGTCTCCGTTGCTACCCCAAACTCTGGTAATTACCTCAATGCTTTATACTTGTGTGAAATTAACTATTTTAGCTTCTATATATCAGCAAAAAGGTGTGATATGTATTTAGTTTATTTTACTTGACATCATATTCTTTAGGCCTATCCATTTTGAATTTTGGTCCAAGACAGGATTCCTTCCTTCCTTCTTTCCTTCCTTCCTTCCTTCCTTCCATCCTTCCTTCCTTCCTTCCTTCCTTCCTTCCTTCCTTCCTTCCTTCCTTCCTTCCTTCTTTTCTTCCTTCCTTCTTCCTCCTTCCCTCCCTCCCTCTCTCCCTCCCTTTCTTCCTTCCTTCCTTCCTTCCTTCTTTCCTCCCTTCCTTCTTCCCTCCCTCCCTCCCTCCCTCCCTGCCTCCTTCCCTCCCTCCCTCCCTTCCTTCCTTCCTTCCTTTCTTCCTTCCTTCCTTCCTTGCTTGTTTCTTTCTTATGTATGTGATAGATGATACTGGGGCTCATTTTGCTCAAGTCTGGTACTCTCCTACTCAGTCACACCTCTGCTTCTGGCTTTTTGCTGGTTAGCTTGAGATAAAAGTCACATAAGCCTTTTCTACCTGGGCTAGCTTCAGTCTGAGATCTTACATCTCAGTCTCCTGAGTAGCTAGGATTACAGGCAGGAGCCACAATTTCCTGGCTAGGATTTCCTTTTCCTTTATGGCAGAATAGTATTCCATCATGTGCATGACCCATCTTTTCTTTTTCTATTCACCAGCTGATAGACAGAGTTGGTTCTGTGGTGAATAGAATCTCAATGAACAAAAGAAGTGTGAATATCTCTTTAACATATTGATTTTATTTCCTTCAGAGTTATACCCAGTAGTGGGATTGCAGGATCATATGGCAAACCAATTTGTAATTCTTTGAGGAAAGCAATATACCTTTTGGTCATAGGTCAACCTGTGCCTGGCTTGCAAGCCAAGTCCTGCTCCTCCTACAACTCTATCCTTCCCTTTTCTCAGTGGTGACTGGTAAGACTTGTGCTGAAGGGCATTCGGCAGCCACCTTCCTCACTTCCTAGGAGCTGTGAGCAGGGGTGGCTCCTTGCAGGCTCTGGCACAAGGTCTTCAATGACCCCAGCACCCAGGGCACTCACTTCCATCTCTCTGCAGAGTCTCTCTTGGGGAGCCCTAGACTTTTGTTCTTCCATACACATCCACATTTGCAAGTCTTTCTAAATAAAGGCATTCTCTTCCTTTTTTGGCATCTGGAGGGATTCAGAGGTTTATTGAGGATCTGTCGCTGGCTGATTTTTGAAGTTTTCCAGAAGAATAAGAAGAGCTGAGGTGGTTTCTCCCAGAAACAACTTGGAGAAGCTGCCCAGTCTTTACTCTCTCTGGATGTCTGCTCTGGGACGACTTGGAAGGGAGGTGGGGCTTTTGTACCCACTTTAACCTGCTGCTGTCTCCTTGTTTTCATCCTTCCTCCTGGACATGGCTTGTGGGGTTTGGTCCCCATGCAGCGGGTTAGAGGGGTCTTCTTGGCTCTATTTCCAACTGTGTGCATTGTTTCTGTTACAGGGAAAAGGCTTCCTGGTATAGGGCCAAGCTGTCAGTAAGCATCCAAATTCATGAATTAGTTCTGATTCGCCGAACCCTATTTATTTACACATTGTCACAAAGGTTTGCTAGGCCGCAATACCCAGCCCTTGCTCCATTCAGATAGTAGTCAAATGGATCTCATGATATGAGTCCCTAGCCCT